TTTCCTCACAGGAAGGGGCTCCTGGGGGTGATGCTGATGACCACATAGCAACACAGCATCACCCGACGGGAGCTGGGCCTTTAAAGCACCCTCTCCGCACGGCCCAGCCCTTCCACCCTAACAGACTAGGAGCCTCAGGGGGCGGCGGGGGAGGGTGGGGGGAGGGGGAGATCAACCAGTGAACCTGACTGCATATGTGCATGACCCATGGACTCAGACAATGGGCGGTGAGGGCCTGGTGGGGGGGCGGCAGGTTAGAAGGGGTCAATGGGGGCGGGGGGGAACATCTGTAATATTTTCAACAATAAAGATTTTTTAAGCCCTTTAACCCTCATCCGGGGATATTTTTCCCATTGATCTTTAGAGAGAGAGTGGAAGGGAGGGAGCGAGACGGAGAGGGAAACATCGATGTGAGAGACACATCGACTGGCTCCTCCTGGACACACCCCAACCAGGGAGGGGCCAGGGATGGAATCTGCAACCGAGGTGCGTGCCCTTGACTGGGAATCGAACCTGAGACCCTTTGGGCCACGGGCTGATGCTCTGACCACTGAGCCCACCGGCCAGGGCCCAAAGCCCTTTGAGTCATATAACGTCGCCACCAAATCCTTCCCACACCCTTTCTTTCGGGTGATCTGATCAGTTTGCTCAGAAATCTTCCCAGGAGCGACGCCAGCACACCCTGATCCAACGAAAAACCTTAACCTCGAGGTCATTTATGAAATTCACTCCACCTGTGCTCAGTGGTTGAGTGTCGACCTCTGAACCAGGAGGTCAGAGTTCAATTCCCGGTCAGGGCACAGGCCCGGGTTGCAGGCTTGATCCCCAGTAGGGGGCGTGCAGGAGGCAGCCAATCAACGATTCTCCCATCATGGATGCTTCTATCTCCCTCTCCCTTCCTCTCTGAAATCCTATCTAATAAAAGGCTAATATGCAAACCAACCGAACAGCAGAAGGACCAGTCGCTATGACGCGCACTGACCACCAGGGGGAAGACGCTCAATGCAGGAGCTGCCCCCTAGTGGTCAGTGCACTCCCACAGGGGGAGCGCCGCTCAGCCAGAAGCCAGGCTCACGGCTGGCGAGCGCAGGGGTAGTGGGGGGAGCCTACCTCCGGGGCCGTGCTAAGGACCCCTCGGGGGGTGTCCGAGGGGAGCGGGCTGAAGCCGGCAGGCAGACATCCCCCAAGGGGTCCCGGACTGCGAGAGGACACAGGCCAGGCTGAGGGACACCCCCCCCTCCAGTGCACAAATGTCATGCACCAGGTCTCTAGTTAATAATATATATATATATATTAAAACATTAATAAATCCACTCCTCTGACATGTGGCATGTCCTTCGGGAGGGATCATGGAATGGCTGTTACCACGTCGCCTTGTTGTCCCTGAAACCCCAAAGCTGGGAGCGTGGGGTTTGACAGCACAAGCCCTGTGACCACACCCCCAGCCCCGCGCCCGGCGCTGACCTCACCGTGACCCCTGGAGTCGGAGATCCAAGCTGACCCACCCAGGCTCCCACCTTGGCCGTCCTAATAAGCAAAGACGCTGGCACATCTGCGACCATCGTGTTCCTGACCGCGGAGCTCGCACATGGCACACCACATGGGTGTCACTGCAAAGAGCCAGAAATAGCACCACTCACTCTAAATTTCTCAATGGCCCCTTCCCTGCTGATCTCCACGCAGAGCCCTCACGAGCAGACTGCGTGACAGCGCGCGGGACTAAAAATAGGTCCGAGGAGACGTTCTGTCCCTCGGTGAGGAAGTGACCGCCTGGAGGGCAGGGGGGGGGCCCCCAGGACTCCGGGCCGGGGAGCAGCGAGGGGCCCATCCCACTGGGAAGGAGACGGTGCTGTCACCACAAAAACCGACAAGTCTGGTTACCTAAAGACCCAGAGCCACTTTCTGCACGAGTCAGACTGTGCTTGGCCTCCACACAGATCACAGGCCCCAGGAGAAGCCGAGGCTTAAAGCTGTTTCCTCAAAGGCTCAACACAGAGCTGCCGAGTGACCCAGCACTGCCCAGAGCAGAGGACACATGTGTTCACACGAAAACCAGTACATGGATGTTCACACAACCACTAGTACACGAATGTTCACACTAGGACACGAATGTCCACACAATAACCAGTACACGAATGTTCACACAACCCCCAGTATAAGAATGTACACACAACCACTAGTACACGAATGTTCACACTAGTACACGAATGTCCACACAAAAACCAGTACACGAATGTTCACACAACCCCCAGTATAAGAATGTACACACAACCACTAGTACACGAATGTTCACACTAGTACACGAATGTACACACGAAAACCAGTACACGAATGTTCACACAACCACTAGTACACGAATGTTCACACAACCACTAGTACACGAATGTTCACACAACCACTAGGACACGAATGTTCACACTAGTACACGAATGTCCACACAAAAACCAGTACACGAATGTTCACACAACCCCCAGTATAAGAATGTACACACAACCACTAGTACACGAATGTTCACACTAGTACACGAATGTCCACACAAAAACCAGTACACGAATGTTCACACAACCCCCAGTATAAGAATGTACACACAACCACTAGTACACAAATGTTCACACTAGGACACGAATGTCCACACAATAACCAGTACACAAATGTTCACACAAGTACACGAATGTTCACACAAGTACACGAATGTCCACACTAGGACACGAATGTCCACACAATAACCAGTACACGAATGTTCACACAAGTACACGAATGTTCACACTAGTACACGAATGTCCACACAAAACCAGTACACGAATGTTCACACAAGTACACGAATGTTCACACAAGTACACGAATGTTCACACTAGTACACGAATGTCCACACAAAAACCAGTACACGAATGTTCACACAACCCCCAGTATAAGAATGTACACACAACCACTAGGACACGAATGTTCACACTAGTACACGAATGTCCACACAAAAACCAGTACACGAATGTTCACACAACCCCCAGTATAAGAATGTACACACAACCACTAGTACACGAATGTTCACACTAGTACACGAATGTCCACACAAAAACCAGTACACGAATGTTCACACAACCCCCAGTATAAGAATGTACACACAACCACTAGTACACAAATGTTCACACTAGGACACGAATGTCCACACAATAACCAGTACACAAATGTTCACACAAGTACACGAATGTTCACACAAGTACACGAATGTCCACACTAGGACACGAATGTCCACACAATAACCAGTACACGAATGTTCACACAAGTACACGAATGTTCACACTAGTACACGAATGTCCACACAAAACCAGTACACGAATGTTCACACAAGTACACGAATGTTCACACAAGTACACGAATGTTCACACTAGTACACGAATGTTCACACAAAAACCAGTACACGAATGTCCACACTAATACACGAATGTACACACAACCACTAGTACATGAATGTTCACACAAGTACATGAATGTTCACACAACTAGTACACAAATGTTCACACAAAAACCAGTACATGAATGTCCACACTAGTACACAAATGTTCACACAACCACTAGTACACAAATGTTCACACTAGTACACGAATGTCCACACAAAAACCAGTACACGAATGTTCACACAACCCCTAGTATAGGAATGTACACACAACCACTAGTACACGAATGTTCACACAAGTACACGAATGTTCACACAAGTACACAAATGTTCACACAAAAATCAGTACACGAATGTTCACACAAAAACCAGTACACAAATGTTCACACAAAAACCAGTACACGAATGTTCACACAACCCCCAGTATAGGAATGTACACACAACCACTAGTACACGAATGTTCACACAAGTACACGAATGTTCACACAAGTACATAAATGTTCACACAAAAACCAGTACACGAATGTTCACACAAAAACCAGTACACAAATGTTCACACAACTAGTACACGAATGTTCACACAAAAACCAGTACACAAATGTTCACACGACCACTAGTACACGAATATTCACACAAGGACACGAATGCTCACACAAGTACATGAATGTTCACACAACCACTAATATACGAATGTTCATAGCAGCATATTCACAGCAGCCGAAGGTGGAAACAGCCCACGGGTCCATGAACTGGTGACGGACAGACTGCGGCACGCCCATACGATGGAATACTACGCAGCCATGAGAAGGAACGGAGCCCTGACGCCCTACAACACGGGTGCGCCTCGCGGACGGCGGTGGGGGGGGACTGAGTGAGAAGCCAGGGCCAGGCACTTCTCCTTCTAACGTCCTTGCAGCGGCACCAGAGCAGGCACGGCCGGCGGCCACATCTGGGACAGCTCCCTGCCTTTGCTGTGGAACTGCCCTCAGAGGAAACAGCCTGCTTCCCAATGTCTGGTTTCATCCTGACTTGCCAGGTTGGCTGGTGCAGGGAGCACCGCGCTCTTTCCAGAGCAAGTTCCCAATTCCAACGGTGATGTGATGTCGCTGAAGGAAACAGCGGCTGAGCCACTGCCACACACACAGCAAATGCCACGCCAGCACCGGCCTGCACGCTGGAGCGCAGCCTCCTGCCATCCTAACCCCGAGGCCTCCTCAGGCCGCGAGCGCGGGTCTCAGTATTTTGCAAATAATAAGACCAGCAACCAACACTTACATGTCGCTCGCTATGCACCAACCACCGTTCCGAGCTTTCCCCACATATTCACTCATCCCGTCGGTACAGCATCCCTCACGCCCCCCACGTGGTGAGCACCATCGTTATTCCCGTTTCACAGAAGAAGAGACGGAGGGTCAGAGGGGTCACGTCACGTAACCCAGGGCCCCACAACCACTAACGGGCAGAGCCGGGATGCACACGCCGCCCTCTGCCTTCAGACGCCGGGCGCAGCCTCGCGCTGGCGTTAACCCAACTCGCAGGACGATTCCCTGGAACACAGACGCAGACGGACGTTACACTCGCCGAGGACCCGGCCTCGCCGCCCGCTCACCTGTGCACCACGCCGGCCCGGTGCAGGTGCTCCACGGCCGAGATGAGCTGCCGGATGTACCTGCGCGCCTCCGCCTCCTCCAGCCGCTTCTTCTCGTAGATGCGGTGCATCAGGTTGCCGCCGGGGCACAGCTCCATGACCAGGTAGTAGCTGTTCTCCGTCTCCAGGATGTCGAGCAGCTGGGTGATGTTGGGGTGGCGGATCATCTGCTGGATCTGCCCCTCCCGCCGCAGGTTCTTGGTGACGTAGGTGTCCTTCCTGGCTCTCCTCTTGTCGATGACTTTGATGGCCACCTGGGGGGACACGAGAGCACGGCTGCTGTCAGGCCCCGCGGGCAAAGGTCACTCCTGACCATTCACGGGCACCCACGGCCACAGAGCTGCCTGCTGCACCAGGAGAGAAGCATCCTCTAAGAGAGCGGGGGGGGGGGGGGGGCCCACATACTCTGACCAGGGCCAGGGCTGGGGACCTGCACCCGAGGTACGCGCCCTTGACCGGAATCGAACCCGGGACCCTTCAGTACGAGGGCCGACGCTCTATCCAGCGGGACACATCGGCCGGGGCTCAGTTCTTAAGGGAGAGAATGGACTTCACTTAAGCAAACCTGCCCGGTGGTCTGGGCGGCTCCAGGAGGGTGAGCGATGACCATGGATCGTCACAGGGTGAAATACCGGTTCTCCCCAGCGAAGGGCCACTCCCCACCCCTCAGGCCTGCGACCTCCCTCCAGGCGGGTCCCCCCAGCCCCAACTCCTGGAGCAGCCAACGCTGCCCCATCTCAGTCCCAGGCCGTAGGCAGGGGCTGGCGGACACAGCGTCCACTGACAGGGCACCACGGTCACCGCTCCGCCCGCTCCCTGCCCTGTGCCACCGGCCCCGCCCTCTCCCTGCCCTGTGCCACCGGCCCCGCCCTCTCCCTGCCCTGTGCCACCTTGGCCCCGCCCTCTCCCTGCCCTGTGCCACCGGCCCCGCCCACTCCCTGCCCTGTGTCACCTCGGCCCCGCCCTCTCCCTGCCCTGTGCCACCGGCCCCGCCCTCTCCCTGCCCTGTGCCACTGGCCCCGCCCTCTCCCTGCCCTGTGCCACCGGCCCCGCCCACTCCCTGCCCTGTGTCACCTCGGCCCCGCCCTCTCCCTGCCCTGTGCCACCGGCCCCGCCCACTCCCTGCCCTGTGCCACCTCGGCCCCGCCCGCTCCCTGCCCTGTGCCACCTCGGCCCTGCCTGCTCCCTGCCCTGTGCCACCCTGGCCCCTCCCTCTCCCTGCCCTGGCCAAATTCCTTCCTAACTGCCTCTCCCCTGTCCCTCTGTCCATCACCCAGTCTGCCTCACCTAGGACCCCGCCTCCCAGCGCCCAGACACACTGCGTCTACGTGGGACGCAGCAGCCCAAGGGCACCCACACGAGGCTGCCGGGCCACCTGGCGCGGGAGGAAAGCGGGGCCTTCCCATCCCTGCTGACGAGTCCTTCCTCCTGTAAGTCCACATTGTGACTGCTCCACGAAGCGCTCGCTGTATTAACACAGGAGTGTGACATACCTAGGTCAGTGGTCAGTAAACGGAAGATACATACATGCATACATACGTGTTTGCAGTAATGAGCTCAAATGCTATTTTCATGACACAGACAAGACTGGCCTGGGACCAGACAAGCTGGGGGCTGCTGTCCCCACGGAGGCAGGCACACGCGGCCACGGTTTGGCCCCAACTCATTCAGTAGATGCTAGACTAACAGCTTTAAAAACTGTACTTGTTCTTAACCAGACACACACACTCACACACTCACACACATTCACACTCACATGCAATCACTCACAGCCCAAACTCACATACACACACTCACACACTCATCCATTCATAACTCAGTCATACACCCACTCACTCACACTCACACACAGTCACATACACCCACTCACTCACAGACACACACTCACAGCCCTCTCACACCCACGCACCCACTGTCACACACTCACACTCACACACCCATACGCATCCACCATCTGGGGTGGGAGGAGGAGGGATTCTGTCTTTGCTGGGGTCGCCCTGCAGCTTTGAAAGCTGCCCGCCTCCCCCCACTGAAATCCTTTCGAGTTCCACTATGAATACACCCCCGGCTGCAGCCGCGGTCACGGATCGCCCGCCTCAACAGCCCACGATGACGAGGGTGACTCAGCTCGTTAGCTGCCGTGGCCGGCCCCGGCCTCTGGGGGTGTGACTGCGACCTCCCTGGGGAAGGTTCTGAGACGAGACCAACCCCGTCACAGGTGGCCTGGGTGTCACCTCGAGTGTCCATCAACCCGAGGCGGCCGATGGCACACGGACCCCGAGGGGGAGGGGGCGGGGGAGGGGAGGGGGAGGGAGAGGGCGGGAGGGGGCGGGGCGGCCATACGCCAGGACCCACACCCCCCGGGCTGGACAACACAGCCAGGGGTGTGCCCCACCCTCACGCCTCTGGGCTCCGCAAGTCCCTCCGAGGACACCCTGAGCCTGAGGGCCTGGCGGGAAGGTCTCCTATGAAGGGCGCCCCCACTTCCCTGCCAGCTCCTCCGGGGTGTCTGCAGTCACCCCGAAAAGGACACGCCCTGCACGGCTGGCCCTGAAGGCGAAGCTGCCGATGCCACAGACCCCGTCACGGCCTCATCCGCGAGGGGACCGGAGGGAGGTTAGGGGAAGCCATGGCTGACCAGGGGGAGGCACCTGGGATCCCACAGGCACCCGAGAGCCCAGGCTCGGACCTGTGACCACGTCTCCCGCTGAGAAGATTAACGGCCTCGGTCGGCGGTCAGCGCCCCGAGGAGGGACATGGAGTCGCACACCCGCCGGGGCAGCACAGGGCCCAGACGGGATGGCCCCGGTCCTGGGGATCCGACAGGAAGGGGCGCCGCCTGTCTGACCCTGAACGCCGCCCCGAGCACGACTGGTGCCGTGAAAGTAGAAACGCAGACGCCAGCTCCTCACGGGATCCGAGCTGCAAGGCCTCCCGAAGTTTCACAAAGGGACCCGTCTTCCGGGACTCCCCCACATTTCCTGGGTAAGCAGCAGGCCTGGGGGTGCAGCCCAACACAGACCTTCCGGCGCGATCAGCAGTGACGGGCGGCCTGCCCGGTCAATCACATCTCGACAATAGCACCTGGATGCAATGAACTGAGCGGGGGTTCGCCAGGGCAGGCGCCCCAAAAGCCACAGAGGCAATGCCAGGCCGCGTGGGCGGCTGGAAGGAAGTTGGTTTCACGCCTTCCTCCAAGGCCCGGCATGCGTGACCACAGATGTGAGACCACAGATGTGAGACCACAGATGTGAGACCACAGATGTGAGACCACAGATGCGAGACCACAGAGCGCGGAGGGCGTGCCCGCGGGAAGACCGGCGTTCAGCAGGAGCAGAGAGCATCTCCCGGCTTCGTGATGAACTCAGAGCAGCGCGGGTCGCAGGGAGGAAGCGAGAGGGCTCGCCAGGCCTGTCTTTCCCGGGCCCCCTAACTGCTGCGCTGCTCTGCCCCTGCCCCTGCTACCACCCTCCCGCGGCTGGGGGCGGGGCCTGTCTTTTGGGAACGAGAGGGGGAAGTCTCCCCCGTTTACACAGCAGAGCTCATGAGGGCAGCTCCTGGCAACATGACGGAGCCCGGGGCTGAGTCAATGCAGAGCGCAAGTCCCGTCTCACCGCCCGCAGGCCCCCGGGACCCTCCGGTGCCCGCCCAGGGGGCTGAGGCCTGTCGCTGGGACCGCGAGCCCTGACTCCCTGGGACCGTCCTGCTGGTGGGAACCCAGACCCGGGCCCTGCCAGGGAGGAGAGCGCAGAGCGGGGGCTCAGGGCGCAGAGCGCTTTGTGCAGTGGTGGGAATTCTCACCAAACCACCGCTTAGCTGAAATACGTTCACCAGCACCCCCGCCAGCGGGAGGGCCAGGCCCGGGGAGGGTCGGAGGTCGCGGTGCCAGGACAGGAGTGGAAGTAACAGCTGTGCACGAGCGCGGAATCCTCACCAGCCCCCCCCCCCCCCCGCCCCCGGCCCGGGTGCTGGGACCCTCCGCACGGCCTGATACACCTGCACGCAGGGCCCCTTCCCTCCCCTTCCCTCCTCCCCTCCCCCACCCAAGCAGGCTGGCCCGGACCTGCTCATCAGAGGGCTCTCCCCACCTTCCGGGTTCGTACCTGGGCATTTCCGCCCAGCCGGCCTGCAGGAGGCAGCCAATCCATGATTCCCTCTCATCATGGATGTTTCTATCTCTCTCCCTCTCCTTCTCCTCTGAAATCAATACAAATATTTGTTAAATATATATACACACGGGCATCCCTGGCGTCTTCTGTGTGAAAGCAGTCAGTGACCCCGCAATGACCCCATAAATCCTCCGGCCTCCCTCCTGCTGCTGGGAACCCGGACCCCGTGGGACCCCGTGGGACCCTGTGGGACCCGGCCAGCGCAGACAGAGCGGGCGGGAGGGGCAGGGATTCCCCGGGCGGAGGACACGGACGGCGGGAGGCGTGTGCGCGTCTGCACCCACGTGTGCCCGGGGCGGGCTGCCTGGCAATCGCCCGGTGAAACTGTGCACCAAGCACTGATTCGTTTAAAAAAAAAACACCGAGCCGTTTGTCCATCACTTTCATTACCCTCTCCCAGGTGTGACTGCGAGCGCGGCCACAGGCTGGGCACCGAGCTAACAGGAAGGCCTTGTCTCACAGCCAGAAGCTATGAGTCTGATGTGCAGACGCCGCCCTGTCCCCGTCTCTCCCCCTGCTCCTCCCTCTGTGCCCGGCTGTGTCCTAATGTCCTCTCCTTCTAAGGACACCAGCAGCGTGGATCAGGGCTCACCAGGGACCTCATTCAACTTGCTCACCTCTAAAGGCCCATCTCCAATACAGCACATTCTGAGCACCAGGGGTCAGGGCCTCCACAGAGGAGGGAGGGGGTGCAGAGCTCAGGCCATCACCCCCGGAAAACCCCTCACAATCTCAGTGACAAGGGAGAGAACCACGAATCCACTGGGGCGGAGACTCGCCAACACCCCTGACGTCACGAGGAGACTAGGAACGGGCTCAGGGTCCCGGGCCCTGCGGTTCTTTCCCCTCCGGCTCCTGTTTCCTGCGGGTAAATGTCACCATGCTGTTGGACGTTATTAACTTTTCTACACATTAAACACATATATATACCCATCCTCAGGTGAGGGTTTTCTTAAAAAGACATTTTTATCTTTACGTAAAGACAAGACTGCCCTGACCGGTTTGGCTCAGTGGATAGAGCGTCGGCCTGTGGACTGAAGGGTCCCAGGTTTGATTCTGGTCAAGGGCATGTACCTGGGTTGCGG